TGTAGAAGATAGTGCCAGTACACACGGTACTTAGTTAGTTGGGTCACTTAACTATAGTTAGTTGTTAACTTAACCATGGTTAGTCAATTGTATATAAATACTTGTATTACACATTGTAAATGTAAGAGAAAAAAATCATTTTCTTCTGCAACTCTATTACAGTTCTATCTCCTCTGCTTCTATTTTCTCTTCTGTTCTCTCGATCAATCTCACACACACATTGAATTAGTGTTCATTACAGAATTCAACACTAGCATATCATGTCCAACAGTATATATGCTACTAGTTAACAAGTGAAATTTCCAAGATGAAACAAATAGGAGTAAAACTGCTCGGATTATTACAAGAAGACTTCTAAGTAAACTACCAAGAAATGTCACTAACTGAGAATCCAGGTTCACGAACCTTCAACAAATTTTAGCTTTTTGGCGTTTCACATACTGAAGAATAGGCTCTTTTACCTGTAGACCCCAAAAAAGGTAACAAGAAGAATGATCTTCTAGATTGCGAAGTGTAACCAAGTTCCTCTGGAGAAATTTGATGCATACGATGCTTGCTTTCCTGTTACGTACGCGTATACTGACTAGACTTGCACCTGCTACAGACAACTGTTTCAGACTCATTATCTTTGTTTGTGCTTCCATATAGTTTTTCCATTCTCATTCCCAGCTATGAAACTCTCACGAGAAGCTACAGGCTGCATAATGTCATATGTAAGTTTTAACGATCGAGTTTCCTGCAGTAACAAACTTTTCAGATTAGTTGCAGTTCACGAGATAACCAACCTCAGCTCTGCTTGAGGTTTGTTTTCATGGTTTCTTCTCTTTGAGACAGTTCGATCGCTCAAGAGAGCCATTCTGGTATGCATCAGACTTCTGTCTTGATCGTGTGAGATCTGATCCAATAGAGTGGAGAGCACCGCAGGTGGATAGATCTCTATGATTGTAATTTCACCGATGGTCACTCAACTATGTTTTAATTTTACTAAAGTCACTCAATTATTTTTTGTCGCTTAAAAGTCATTTTGGCTCAAACTCCTACCATAAATATGACATGACATAAAATTTAGTGAGAAAAATCCAAAAATAAATGTCACATAAGCTTAAATGGATCATACTCAATTTAAATCCATTTCTTCCTTAATGTGATTTGACCCATAACCCAAATGTTTTCAATAAAAAAATATTAAATTTCACATTAGTTTAAAATGATTATCGTATACTACAAAATTCTTATCTTTTCTGTTACATAATGCCCATTTATAATTATTCTATACTAAAAAAATGCTTATCTTATTTGTATGCCTCATCCAAGTCGTTTTATAACTCTATTGAAGTTAAAATAGTATTGTATCCAACTCATATAACATATTTATAATTTTCTAGTGAAATTAAAATAGTATTGTATTCATCTTACATAACATATTAATGTATCATAAGCATACGAGAATAATAATAATTAGGCTAATAAGAGTCTATTTTCAAAATGAACATACACTTAAAACAACCTATTGCAATTGTTTAGACAAAAGAAATATTGTACTTGTACGATAAAAATCCTACAAAAACATCACAGGACCTAATTTTATTAGGGGTGTTTTTTTTTCCCCTATTGAAACCCATTTGGGTTATAGGTCAAATCACCTTAAAGGAGAAATGGATCTAAAGTGGGTATAGTCTATTTAAGCTTATGTGACATTTATTTTTGGATTTTTCTCATTAAATTTTATGTCATGTCATATTTATGGCAAGAGTTTGAGCCAAAATGACTTTTAACTGACAATGAGAAAGTTTAGTTACTTTTAAGTGACAAAAAAAATTGAGTGACTTTAATAAAATCGAAACATAGTTAAGTGATCGTCAGTGAAATTAACCCGCACTAAAGCTGTCGTAGAGTTTGTGATAGTAGTCTTGACGACAGCCATAAATTGACTTGAGTAAACACTAGAGGAAGTTCTGAATTGTTGGATTACCTGATTTAGTTCATGTCCACATCCTGACCAATGACATAGTTAATAAATGAATTAAAACTACAACAGTGTAATATCTATTGAACCCATATAAACTCATGACTATTATCATGACATCTTTCTCTAGGACTTTCTTAACCTCAACCAGCTTTTTCTCAGTCAAGTCCGAGTGGATCACACACTTGCCTGCAATAACGGAAGCGATCCAACAAATGGTGTAACTGTTATTTATTTCTTTCTCCTCCGTGCAAAGCCAAAGATGCAGCTTGCCAGTGAGTACATAGCCTAGCCTCAAGAAAGCCTATCTTGTGTCATTTTATCTATTAGCTTCCTCACAGTAGTTTGATTTACTTCTCCTCCTAGTTCACTTTGAAGTTTTCTAATCATTACATAGTTCATTGGCAGATCATGATACAAAGCCTGAGACATGACAGTCCATTACGAACATGCATTCCAGGAATTAAGCATCTAAACTCAATACAGCTCATAACAGGATTTCAATTAGTGAAATAAGATACTGTTATATATATGCCCTCCTCTCATACTTTGAGAACTTTACTTAACTAAATGAGAATACTAAACCTTTCTCCTCATTCTATCGGATGTTATTTGGATATATGTTCTTTCCATATCCTTCAGGTAGGAGGAGGAAACCAATACTCAGGGGATTTTCCATTGGTTAAGACAGGCAGACCACCAGATATCCCAGGAAGGAATCACTTAAATTCTTCTTATTTGATCTGATAATTTTGGGGAGTGACCGTTTGCAAAAGCATTAGAAACGCTAATCAGCGATTTGGGTGATGGTGGTGATCGCATGCATAAAGAGACAAACATTTATCTTGACTGAAGGTATGCTAAACCTATGCTTGACAAACATTTATCTTGACGAAGCTAGGAAAGGACACAAAAATTGAGGGAAGGGCATACAGTAACATCATCATAATAAAGGAGCTTTATTAGTATCATACGCTGAAAAAAAAGGAAAGGAGGAAAAGGATTTGATATTATAAACCAGATAAAAATAAAAAATAAAAAATTGGAACACCAATGGTTAATGAATATTGAAGCCTGTCTTTAAAGAATAACATAAAGCTTTACCTCTTCTGGCATCTTATCCAAAGTTCTCATCAACTGAATATATGTACGGACCATTTTATGCGCAGAACTCCTGAAACAGTGCTATTTCTTATCTCAGTGGTTCTAGCTATCCAAAATCAACTAGCTTAAGACGAAACAGTGAACTAGAATTTCATGACATCAATATAACTACCTCATCTGATTGGGTGTTATTTCAGTGGTTGAGTCACACTTGAATTTTCCCCGTGTTCATTCCAATTCGTTTCATATCCATTGACACTTTCTTGGCTGTCAGAGTTTGAATAACAGAAAGAAACTGCAAGTAGAGAACTAGCACTATCAGTTATCCTCAGGCTTAGATTATAGTGTCACAAATGATATAAAATTAACATCAAATGGATATTCTTTAGCTTTATCATTATTTCAAGCGATGCTATTCTGAGATGCTGAACTACTCAGCCTGTGATATAATTATATCAGTGCAAACATATAACTATCTAATTACAGTCCAAATCCAACCGTCCTATCTTGTTGTCATACATGCTGTCACGACCCAAAATCCACAAGTCGTGATAGCACCTAACTCGACGGTCAGCCAATTAACAGTTAACACAATCCTAATAAAATAAATGTATCAGCAATCGATATAACTGAATTTCCATATAAAATCCCAAGGACTGGTAGTACAAGACATGAGCTACTAAGACTAGATTGTTGTAAAAACGAATATGAAATAAATACAACTTCTGTTTGAAAGGTACTTAAACAGAATCCATCTCTAGGACTACCCAGGGACAAGTGGTAGCCACATCCAGAAGGCACGAACATCCTCAGAGTCAGCTCCCGACATCACCAGCAGCTCCGCTCCAAAATCTGCATGCAAGGTGCAAAAGTATAGCATGAGTACAACCGACCCCATGTACTCAATAAGTATCTTGACTAACCTCGGTGAAGTAGTGACGAGACTTTTTAGTTAAAAGATACTCACTGATATAACCTGTACTGTAAGGTTGTAACTAATAACCCAAAATTAATGTATTTTTTGAGCCTTTTATACCCTTTCTTTCTAGCCTATCCAAAACTCACATTACGGTCCAAAGAAAGACCTTCTGATCAGTCTTTAAAAAATGCCAAGTCAGACAAATGAAAAGTCTTACCGGCGAACATAACATTCTGTTCCACAGCAGAAAGGACTCTAATCTCCAACAGAAGGAGTCATACCAGCAACACTCCAAATCCCCAGCTGGAGAGATATAAAACGAGAGAGTCTTATTGGTGAAAACCTTCGCAAGCACCATAAGGCGATGAAAGCTGAGAAAAAGCAATAGAACAATACTACAATATAACAAAAAAGAGTACATGAAACGAATATGTGAAGCAATAACTGAGTACTAGCAATTTAACATTTCCAAATATCTCGACCAATCATTTACTTAGAGCGATAACCAACAAACCACGATAGTAACTCCTCAAGATGTCAAATCAAATGGCACGGCAACACCTTTCGTACATTTATCTCATCCTCACCAAATATACGGGTAACAATACCAACCAGGTGAAAGAAATGCTGATAACAGTAATGACACAGTAAGAAATACACAAGTAACAATGATGAACAAGGCAGTACATATAGACAACAGTAATAGACTAGGTAGGAGCATAAGAGTAATGACATCAATTAGGAAAGAAGAACATAATTTCACCTAACTAGCATGGTAGAAGGCATAGATGTAGATATAACAAATAAGAGGAAAAAGCATGGTCTTTATAAGCTAACACATAGAGGCATGAACGACTAACATGGTAGAAGGCTTATACTAAAGTGCAACAAAATAGATACGACATAGATGTAGATATAACAGCAGGAAAGAAAGCATGATATTTGCAAGTTAAATAAATAGAAGGCATGAACAACACCAACAACAATCGAGATAGAGGACAAAGACAAAACAACGACGACACGTCACGTAGATAACATAGGTGCAACAGTAGTAACTCCAGGTAAAGGCATGAATGTACACACAAGGAAAACATATCACAACGTAATACATGTCCCTTGTCCTCGCCTGCACGGAAATACCCTTCGTGCCATGAACTCATGATAATATAAAAGCATGGTAATATAAATGAAATGGCACGACATCACCCTTCATGCTTTTACTCTCATCCTTACATGATAATGCAAATGAGATCAGGATAATATAAATGAAATGGCACGGCATCGCACTTCGTGCTTTTACTCTCAAATGAAATAGCATGGCATCACCCTTTGTGTTTTTACTCTCAAATGAAATGGCACGACATCACCTTTCGTATTTTACACTCTCCCTCGCATGATAATATGTATACAATGACACGGCATCACCCTTCGTGCTTTACACTCTTCCTTACCAAGCATATGTATATCAATGACAAACAAGGTAGGAAACATAAATAACGTCAAGGAGAGTATTTAAACGAATATTCCAAATGAACCCCAATCACAACTTTCAAGCCAACAATAGTTCAATAAACTCTCGACAACCTTATTATTCAAGTATTTCAACAAATCTCAAGAATGATCTACAACACGAGTAAAAAAATCTAATATCTCAAGAATATCGGCCATAGCAATGTATTAATGATTGAACATAATGATGACCAAATTAGACACATCAATGTTTCTCAAAATCCCGTCAAATTTTAATCAAGTTATAATAAACTAAATCTTGATTTCTAACATTTAATTCCATATTCTTAGTGATCTAGAAGTCAAGTAGGACATGAAGCAAGAATGGTCATGTAATTCTACAAGGTGCAATTTATAGTATAATTTACTCCCGAGCATGATTAACCCTGGCACATGCATGTATGCCCGTCACGTCATATATGTATCACCCCCGCATGTAGCAAATAATGTCAAATAGTAGGAAAAATTCCCTTAACAAAGTTAGACAAGACACTTATCTCAATTCGGCCAACTAAATACTCAAATTAGCTTATTCCTTTACAAATTCACCTCCGCCCAACTCAATCTAGCCAAAAATGACTTAAATACATCATACAATGCAAGAGAAAACAATTTCAATTAATAAAGTTATGACCTTTAAACAATTTTCAAAAAGTCAACAAAAGTCAACCCCGGGCTTGCCCGGTCCAAACCTAAGTCCAAGTGTAGGTCTTGACTACCCATAGCCCCCACGAGTTTATATACGTATTTTGTTTCCAAATTCGAGTCCTATTCGACTTTCAAATCCCAAATTTTTATTTTTCAAAGCTTTGACAAAATCCCCAAATTTTTTCCTAGATTCTCATGAATTAGATGTTGAATCTTATGTATAATCACGAAATATAATTGAAAGTTGATTAAAATTGCTTACTCGATAGTTTGGTATGAAAATCCTTCCACAAGATCGCCTCTCATCGAGGTTAGGGTTCAAAATATAACAAAATGAATCAAAAACCCGAATTACACAGCTGAAAACAAGCTGAAGATGCCGCATTTGTGATCTAGGGTTCGTAATTGCGAACCCTCGCAAAAGTGAAGAAGCCTTCGCAATTGCGAACAAGAACAGGGCTGGAAAATGTCGCAATTGCGAACTGGACATCGCAATTGCGATAAAAAAAAGTTCGCAATTGCGAGTACACCAGAAACCAACAGTCTCTCCAACACGGAAATGAGCATAACTCTCTCATACAAAGTCCGAATTCCACGATTCTTTTTGCTATGGCTCCGTAATTACGATACGGATCTAATGCTTCAAAAAAACTTAATTTTGAGCTCATTTGCATAATATGAAACTATTTATGCTTGAAGAAACGGTGCCGAAGCAAAAAAAAAAACAAGCGCAACACAACCTAAACCTATCTGAAACTCACCCAAGCTACTCGGGACCTCATTCGGACATACCAACAAGTCTTGTAACCCAACACGGACCTACTTGAGGCCTCAAATCACGTCAAATAACATCGAAATTATGAAACACACCTCAAATCGAATTTAATGAACTTATGAGACTTCTACAGCTTGCGCCGAATCATATCAAATTTACCCGGCATGACATCAAATTTTGCATGCAAGTCTCAAATCACATAACGGAGCTAATCCAACTTTCGGAATCGCATTCCGACCTTGATACCACCAAAGTTAACTCTCGGTCAAACTTCTCAACCTTCCAAAACTTCAATTTTCCAATTTTCGCCGACATGCTTCAATTTACCCTATGGACCTCCAAGTCCAAATCCGGACGCACGCCTAAGTCCAAAATCACCATACAAAGCTATTGGAATCACCAAAACCCCAATCCGAGGTCAAAATGCTAAAAAGTCAAACTTGGTCAACTCTTCCAACTTAAAGCTTCAATTCTGAAGTTTATTCTTCCAAATCGATTCCAGGTAACTTGAAAACCAAAACCAACGATTCACACACGTCATAATACATCATGAGAAGATACTCGTGCCCTTAAACTGTCGAGCAAAGTGCAAATGTTCAAAACGACCAGTCGTGTCGTTACACATGCATATTCCTCGGTCGTTAGTCCATCTATTTTTTGCACACGCAGAACAAGAGTATGTTAAGATACTTCTTCTGCAATGCATCATAAACACCTCCAAATAACAAAGAAGTGTAAAGAACTGATAGGGCAGAATATAAAATCTAACACAAAGTATGATAGACTAGTCAAAGATCAACATGCCTTTTCCCAACCAATCAATCAGTCGACGTGATTCAGCATCCATGGGCATGAGTTTCTTAATTTTCATCTCTGCTTGTTATATAAGCATTAACGGAATTAACGCAGATAACTGAAAGAGACTGATAGCATGATAAATTTAACTTGGCAGAAAGAGGTAACCTAAAGGTAGAACAGATTTATCACTAAAATCATCACCATCCATGTGCCTGAGACTTCAATACAATATTTGAAAATTTTAGGTACTTTATCACCAAATTCACTAACAAAGAGATATAAAATAACAATCTAAAATAACCAAAGCTAAAGATGTAAATCAACTCTCTAAATAATCAGCGTTCCAATCAATCAATTTGCAATTGAACAGATTTAAGTTTCAAGTGAAATCCAGTGTATACAGTAGTGATCGATCTTAACGTGTTCAAAAATAGCGGATGAAAAGAAAAATGTGCAAAGGATGAAGTTAAACAGGGGATTTACCAGGAGTAGTGAGTCCTGCTCCATAATTTCTGATTCCTTCACTTTCTGAGCCACAACCTGTGAATTCCGATAGAAAAATGAAAGTTACAATATGCATGTGAATTAAACAAATGAATCAAAGTGGAATGAATAGAAAAGTATTTCTCCGATGATATCTCTGCTAATACTCACCATCGTTTTGCCAGATTTCTGTAGAGAGAGAAAGATTTGGAGAATTAGAGCTCCAGTTTTTCGGAAAGCTTTGCCGGAAATGAATGAAATTGGCGTGAGGGAAGTATAGTGCAGGGGAGGTGAGTTTAAGCGCAACGCGGACTGCGTGCTATAGTGGCTTAAACAGTAATTTCAGGAAAATGCAGGGTTCTTTTTGTATTGGGTAAATTGCTCTTGACACCGCTGAATGAAAGTAACTATTGTAAAGATACGTCCTCTTTTTTTTAAAAGGAATTTTTACCTCATATATATCTAATTTTGGTTACCTCCTAACCCTAAGCCACTAAGTACGCTATTCAGTTACACTATTTTCTTTCTCTCTCTACTTTGATACATGTCATTCTCTTCCCCCGTTCCCTGAAAATACAATGTTCAATCTCAAAATTCCTCTCACTCACATCACCTACGTTATCTCTGATCCCAATTTCTCCAATTCTCTTGAGTGTTTCTTAATTTTTGAATTTTCTTTAATGTTTTCCTTGGATGTATTGCTTCCCCACCTAACAGTTGGACGCTTTTGTCTGAGAACCTACACGACTCAGATTTTTTATGCTGCCGTTGGATGCTTTTGTCTAAGAACCTACACGACTCAGATTTATGCCTAGGGGAGTTAGGTTTCAAAAGGATATTCTTGCGTTCCTTAGATTAAATGTAGGTGTCATTCAGATTTTCTATGCTGCCGTAGAGGTTAGGCAAACATCCGTTCATCCCTTTCTCCTTAAGAAGCCTAACAACACTGCCTACATGCAATGAGAGGATGTGAAAGAGGAAATCAACGCAATCCTTTTCAGCCTCCGCAAATACAACTTTCCGTGATCTTCAATACAAGATTCAAGCTTTAACAGAGTTCTTATTCTGCCACCATTGTTCGACGGCGGATTCGCCAGAAATTAGGGTTTGTTCTTGAACAAAGACGTCGGAGTTTGAGGCTGAGCAACTTGAATTTTCTGTTAATATATTTCAATGTATCTCGTTGTATTTCCATGTATTTCATTGTATTCATTGTCCTTTTTTCATTGTATTTCAATGTATCTCGTTGTATTTCATTATATTCACTGTCTCGTTGTATTCCATGAATGTATTCATATATTTTTTAACTAATATAATTTATGTATTCAGATGTATTATATAATTTCTCTGAAGATTGTTATGTTTTTGGGGTGTTTTTCGGTTGAGAATCTTTTTTATAACTGGAAATA